TTGTATTATAATCACTCCATATCCCTATAGTGTTGCTACGTTGATATTAATATAACTTCGTTCAAGCTCTCCGAGTCTTCTCCCTGTTTGGTGTATACTACAGTACCGTATACTGCCTGAATTTCAAGGTGAGGCTTGTGTGGAGTATGTGCGAGATTGCACTTGTTCCCCGAGGAACGCAGATGTACCTGTTCATGTTTTGCATCCATAGGAACTTATTTTTATGAGTGTGCGAGGAACATACTGATGGTTCCGTTAATTCCGCAATCGAGGTTCATAAGAATAATGTGGAATCCTTTTTAAGTCATATTAAATGATGATTGAAAAATGTTACCGTATCTGTTGGTGATGTTATGCGAGAACAGTCGGATGTAGTCAAGGTTAAAATGTGACTAACTTTCACCATACAAACAGTTACGAACGGCACTGATACATGTTTCCAGCATTTATCCTACTGCATACCTGTGAACACAATTCTTGTATAATCTAGGTTAATTAAACCTTGTTTATACACTATATTTGAGTATTCTAACGCATATATACTGAGTATCATATTTATGCTGCTCATGAATGGTTTATTCGTAGTCACTGAATTTAGGAGCTGGTGGATAACGTAAGCCCTGCGATTATATTGTGAGTAAAACCACATAGTCAGAAGGGAATATACGGAAACGTGAGCGAGCGTGTGGAAAGAGAAATCAAACGGGATGATCTAATAATTGGACTTCGTGTGAAACAATGACATGTAAGAAAGGGATGTTAAATGCATCTGACATGACCTAGGTCATGTCAGGTCAGATTGCACAGGACCGTAAATCTTCCACCAAAACAACCGTCCAGATTGTTGCCCCAGCCGCAACCAAGGTTCTTCTGGAGCTTCGATTGTGTGACCACTGGTAACTTCATCGTCCGGAATAGCCTCCCTTTTGAGGCCTTATGAACAAAGGAAAGTTATTCGAAAATAGGAAGCATATAAAACCTACTGTCAACAGTAGGCAACCTACAAAATTCCTAGATAGAGATTATTCCATACCTCATCTAGTTGTTTTTTGAACTCGTCGACTGTCCTACAGTCAAGCAGTGAAGATTGTAACATTTAAAAGAACTGAAAGGTCCTCTCTATTGCCTTGCATTTCCTTACCTTTTCTCGCTATTTTATCGTACACTCTTTCTGACTGTGGTTCTTATGTTGGTGAATTTTCTATTCTGAACCTTATATTTCATCTTTTCTACGGTGAAGCATATTTATTGAAAATGCACTTTAAGTGCTTTGTGTTCATATGTGAGTGGGACTGCGTGCTGTTGTAGTGTTTTGCTTTTCTATGAAATTATTGTATAACTTGTTTTAATACGCATAATTGATTACAAGGACAACACAAATTCTTTTTGTGACTAAGCACATGTCCTCTGAGTGTTGCTGAAGCAATAAGCGTACCTTAGCAGTTATCGTCAATCGGTCCAATAAATGTCGCAACCATCCCTTTTAGCTCCACTGCGCCGGGGCTACACATTCGAAGAACAGGACCAATCAACCAATCGGACAATCGTTCCATGAGTCCGTTCCATGAACCTTATATTTCGTTATTACTCGTTTATGTAGTGTCTTTTCCTCTACATGTTTGGTGAGCCCTTATTTAGTTCAGTTCATTTCAGTTTGCACATGACAGAAAATGGGCACGGTCAATCGAGCGTCCACAATTCCTTCCATGGTTTGCGGTCAAATATGACACCTACCACTGGGAAACGTAGTCCGTAACTTCCTTGCATGCACTAATATAGGGCAGAGAAACGGTAATTTTATTTCTAGTTTCTTCGGTACCGTGGGTTCTTAAGGACTTTACTTTATTTTTGTTTACTGTACGTTTTACACATGGAGCAATCAAAACTCGACATAGAGAACTCTCTCATATCTTTCTACGTTAAGTTACCCGCATTCAGTATCAACAACTTCCGGTTATGGTTCGCCCGAACCAAAGCCCATTTTCATACCCACCCCATCCGCTCTCGAACGATTGTGTATTCCCAAATATTCACTGCTCTGCCTACAGACATTGCGGAACAGGTGTTCGAGTTTATCATCACCATACCCAAGAATGAGCCATTCACTCAGTTGAAGGAAGCGTTGATCACCCGCAAATCTTCGTCGGATGAACACCGATTAGACAAGTTGTTTGGAGATCTCGAACTCGGAGATTGCACCCCGTCCTAGTTGTTGCGACATGCGGTAACTCCTTGATACCCGAGTACTTGATAACGCCATCCTCCGCCAGCTTTGGTTGAAGTGTCTCCCTCCACGCATCCAGGAAGTTTTATCCGTCCTCTCCAACAGTTCGCTAGATGAAACGGCAACGTCCGAAGACAAACTTTTCGACGTAAACTCAGCTCACAACACATTACCGCTTGCTCCAACCCAACCTCGACCGCTCCTTGCTATGGTGATATCACTTCGCGAATGGTAAATCTTGAATTGCAGATGCATCAGCTGGTTATTCACGTTGTTGGAGGGTCTCAACTTGAATAACGCGGAAGCTTATGTGCTGTCTTATCTAGCTATTCGAGTGGGAAGCTGCATGATCGCCCTGGAACAATGGATATCATAGCTGGTCCTGATTCTCATACGACGTTGGAGCAAATAGTGAAAGAGTTACCGTATTTGCTGCAGCATAGGTGGATAGAGGCCGTTGATTAAATCGCCCAAATGACAGAGAGCCGAATTTTAGCGAACTGTCAGATTTTATATCTGCAATAGCTAGAGTATCACGGAGTCGCTTTGGGCAACTTGTTAACCAAGGCAGAAGCAAATGACCCTTCCAGTCAATACTCTATTCCATTGAGGTAATTTGGTCAAGAATAATAACAATCTAAAAACACAACGATGTGTAATTTTTGCAGACAATCACCCTGTTCACTTTGTCCAAGGTTTTGGAGTTAAATACCCCGGAAAGATGAGAAAAGGTATGAAGATAGTTTGTGTTTCGTATGCTTAAAGGAACACAATCGAGCGAATAACTGCAGTAGTGCGATCACTTGTGATGGAGATGGTCTCGAAGGAAAACGTCACAAGTTGCTTCACGTCCTCAAGGGAGTCTTAAGCACACAGCATGAATCAGTCGGTTAGGGCCATTGCGGAGCAACTAGACTTCGGACCGATAATGTGAGCCTGAGATTATTACTGGTCAAAATATAAACCGGATCGCGAGAGGTTTTTTGCCCTACTTGATAATGGATAGGATAAGACGCTAATTAAAGCGAGCGCAGTACGCCCTTTGCAGCTAAACCATCAAAGAAACCATTCAAAGATAACTACACTGGGTGGATCAACCGAGGTAAACTTTGTCAGCGGTGCTTTTCAGGTGCTGCATTTAAATGAAATGGAATCCGCATGTGTGAAGCAAGTTGTTATAATTATAATGATATAACGGTATGTTTCACGAAGCCCGTAAAGCGTGCTAGTGCGTATGATCAAATGTACAACAATGATGTAGAAATGAAGGTTGAGACAGAAATTAGAAGTACAGAGGGTACGAGCGTGACTTCTGGATGGTTACAGGAGGTATCATAAGGATGATTTGTAGTGAGGGGGGGAAACAAAGCAGACAAAGTCATTTAATGGCGCACTGCGGATGATCCGGTAAAGAGTACTTCATTGCCAACGTTTGTCATATGGAAAACATTCAGCAGGACACACTACTGAAGTTAGAAACATCCGCCAAAACAAGTTCAAAGAATAGGATAATGGTCAAAGTGGAAGAGTCACAAGTATAGAAAACAAACTGCAATGAGGTCAAAGAAGTGCTCTGTGATACAAATGGGACTGCGAGTAGCTTCTGAATAAACGGTTTCAAGGATCCTTCTAGAAACACTGTCCTCTTTGAACAAAGAACCATGGGCTTTGGGGCTTTACGGTTGACGGATAATCTCGTTTTTATTGTTTATATTATTTGGGCGTTGGTCGCTTTGATGTGGCACTGAGTACACGCCAGATACCCAAACTTAAAACAGCTTGTAGGTGAGGTAGAGGGAGTGATCACCATCCTGGTCCGGAATGAGGAGACGTGTAGTCAAAACGGCTCCCAACAACCATTGCCGGAGTCTGATGGTCCATTGTGGGTGTAGACCCCAAGCCTTTTACAGGCCCACCACATTCAATTCTGGAAAAGGAGGGAGATACTCGGCAGTCAGAATAAACCATTCATAAGCCGCTATGAGACATCTATGAAAGAATGAAAAAATGGCCCCATTTAGCAGACCTTGCAGTGAAATACATTGATGGAGAAATTCTGTTATTGATTGGGGTGCAACATACCGGAGGCTCATTGGGTATTCTATCAAACGCTTGGCCGTCTAAAGAATCCTTATGCAGTTCGGACGCTATTAGATTGGGTGATTTTTGGGCCTTCAGGTTTCGCTTATTATGGATTGAAATCGGTCAACTACTTGGTTGCAGAAGACTCAAATTTATTGCACCAGGTTGTGCAAATGTACAATGCAGAATTTGCAGAGGCCCGTTTATTAGGTCAAGACATTTCCGTAGACGACACGGAGGCCATGGCTATTGTAGAGTCGGGTTTAATGTTCGTCAATGGGCACTTCGTGGGCCCTTTGCCATGGAAGAAGGTCGTCACTACCGGTATGNCGGTATGGGAAACTACGCATCAGTGCTCTCGAGGTTGAACAGCTTGAAGCAGTGGTTACTTAATAACAAAGCGCTACGGTTCCGTTACGCACAGACAATGAAGATGACTATAGAGAAGGGATATGCCGTGCCAGTCCCAGGGGAACAGTTACATTGCGAGTTTCTTCCGCGTTGGTACTTGCCACATCATGCAGTACTGAACCCAAAAAAGCTGGAAAAGCTGCGTATAGTTTTGGATTGCCTGGCCAAACACAAGGAACAATCGATGAACGACATACCTCATCAAGGTTCATACACCACCATCAATCTGGTGGGTAGCCTTTTGTAACTCTGTAAAGAGCACGTATCTGTTACAGCTGATATAGAAGAGATATCCATGCAAGTGGAATTGCCAAAAATGATAAAGCGCTTAGAGGTTTCTCTAGTGGCTACTGGGTGACCGACTCAAGAATCCAGAGAAATATCAAATGACAGCTCACCCGTATGGTGCAACTTGTTCACCGTTTGGGCTAATATTGCCTTGAACCGGGCTGCACAAGAATTCAGTAGTGGCTATGGGCGAGTGGTGCTAAAATCCAAAGAAAAAACTTTTACCTTGATGACTGTCTGAAATCGTTCGTGACATGTGACGAGGCCCTAAATTTTGCGAAGGAAATAACAGAACCATTGGGGTGAGGTGGATTTAAACTGAGAAAGTAATCATCTAATTCACCGGAACTTGCAGAATCCTTCTCGGAAGACAGCAGCAGTCTGGTGACCGCGATTGTACGAAGAATAGGAGCAATCCACGTGGACGTTTTCCGTTCATTTTTTTTCACAATCAACTCTGCCTCCAAATGTGATATTTCTTTGTTTTACTTCTGTTTGTTTTACTGAGCACGGTTTTCCGCTCAGGTGTATATATAAGCTGGGTCCTGTTCAAACCCACACAACACGTGTGACACGCTTTCGCTTTACTACTGCAATTATTGCTTGCATTGTTTAGCGTCACCTCGGCACGTTTCCGCACTATCTAGTATCACGATTCGCCAATGAACGTTTACGACCCCCACGAGTGTTTTTGTCTACCTCGGGCAACGATACACTAGGAAGTCGCGCGCATTTTGAGACTCGTAAGAAGCCTTACCGGAAGGCCGTCAACTCCGTTTAGCTTCAGGATTACCAACCTCGTTCAACTGCCTCAATTTGATTCATGTTACCAGTGAGATTCTGGTGTGCAGTGGGCCTGTTTTAACGTTTCAGTTTCCTGTTACCAGATAAGCCGGTGAAAAGAAGAGGCATCAGTTCCTAGTTCGACCCGCTAGGCCTGGTAATTGCCCTGTTTCTCTCGGTAAAGCATTTGTTGCAAACATTGTGCAAATCCAAAATGGGTTGAAACCAACCCCTCAGTACAGCAGATGCCAGTATTTGGGAAAACTGGATACTATTTGTTAGGTGTCTGGACGTGATTAAGATCACAAGCAACAAATACTGGGGAGAATAATGGAGTGTGCCTCCAGAATAGATCAACGAGTAACGCGTAGCCGAAATTGGATCCCAAAACGTCTCAAAACAAACGATTCGGCAATTCCCTACGGTACTGCATTAGTAAACGATCAAATAAGTAAATAAAATTTGCAAAAACCTCAAATTGATCTCGAAGCAACTTGAAACAGGAGTCAAGTGGTACTGTGAGTGCAATTCAAAAAATCTGAACTGAAAAAACTGATTTTTAGTTTCAGTTTCTACAACCATTATTCATGCGTTATCGTCCGCTGGATTTGCTTGCTGTAATTAAACGAGTCAAAAATGAGCGCTCAGGACACGACTGAAACAAATTGGGTCTGGGCGGAGCATAAACAAACAAAATCAAATACCGGGGGTGACGTATAGGTATGTAAGTGAGATTGAGCCTCATAGTGAATTAGGCGAATGGTATTTGACAAGTGAAGCGTCAAAAGTGATGAATGTTTTGATGGTTGGCTTATGTCTGGGTTTTATCCGACGGATTTTCACAAATTGATAAATACACCACCCGACAGAATCCTTCCTTGAGCCACATGGACAAAGGGAAATTTGAGAAAGTATCGTTTCTCACCATAAATACGCATTTCTTACTAGTGTGTCATTCTAGTCAGCTGCTCGTTGTTCTCTACTTGTCTGCGGCACCTGGGAATGTTAGCCAGAAGCCGTCCTCTGTGACCCACAGCGCCTCCATCGCTAACCCATAGGATTTCTCAATTGCACGCATTCCCGGCATGCTCCTCATCATTGACTACCAGAAAGCAGATCCGCCGGATGTCTCGCAGCACCTCATCAGCGGCTGTTTCTACCTTCGCTGAAATTAACAGGCCATCCTGATCCAGTTGGGATTAACTATTCCAACATGGCCACTGACCCCTTGACAGA